ATCCTCTATCTTACAATCTAGACTTTTGTACAAGACAAAGTAAAAATGCTTAGTCTAATCTTCTAGTACTTCTCTGGTTGTTTCGCCAAGTTTAGATATTATAGCTACACATAGTTATAAGTTGATAAACTTAGTTATTAATAGCTAGACTTAGTCATAACTAACCAAACTTTGATTAATCACTTGGCTACTTCTACTTCTATTTCACACATACAATATCAGATCTTACGGTGCGCATCAAATTTTATTTTTTATTTCACTTTCAATATTTACATCTAAAAAGGTTTAACGTTTGGTTCAATTAAAAATTAAAGGATTTATAATTTTTTTTTGAATCAGATTTTCCTTCATATTTTGGCTTTATGCTTTGGCTATTTTATTTTATTTTAAACTAAAAAATTTTGTTTAATAAATATATATCTTTGATTACATTGTATCAACATAGTAACAAGATCTAAGATACTTTTTAAATCATTTCATTTAACAACTTTAGGCATTTTCATACATACAATTTTTATTTATTTCGGCTTAATCATTCTAGAACATTTATATTTATATAAATCTCTTTGTTTTAGTTTTGAAAATAATTATTCAAAGAAAATTCGATATTTTACTGTTATTATTATTACATCTTACACCTTACTTATTGAAAATTTAGATTTCAATATAATAAAATTTATCTTCTATCAAATTATAAGTAGACTATATTTTGTATATGAATTCGTCGATTGTAATTAATATTCTTAAAGCTTCAATCAGTTTTTTGTTGAGTATTTTTTTTTCTTTTATATCATCAATCGATTAAAATTGCAATCACACATTCAAGAATATGACTTGGTTACTTAAAATAAGTAGATGATTTTAAACTCTACTTTGCATATATTGATATTTAATTGTGTCAAGACAAGATACCAAGAAAATGAAATGTTTATTTATTTTCAAATTGTTAATTTATCTTTAAAAAAAATGTTTTATAAAATTTGTTCATCAAATAATTTATAACAGATTATCATCACATGTTTTACTACATACAAAGAAAATAAAAGTTCTTTATTGTTGGAAAGTGTATTGTATATTGATGATTGAATTTGACTTGATATTTTTGCATAATATATACTTCTTGCATATCTTATTCAACTCATTTAGTTAACCTTTGCCTAAAAAATAAATTTATTATATTCAAAACGAGATGTTAATCAATTTTAACACAGTAACATGAAATTTTGTTAGTTATGCACTTAGTTGTCAATGTTATTTAAAAATTAACATAAAAAAACATCAAAAATTAAAAACTAAATCCAACATTCAATTTTTTCTTTAAAACTTCTTTGCTATAAAGAATTTTTCTTTTATCCAAGAGAAATAAGTTAATCAATTCATACGTATATCAAAATACATATGTTATTAATAAATACGCTGTGTCAAAATACGCTTTGTTTATCAAGAAATTTGGATGATCATGATCTTGTGTTGATTCAAACATTGATATGATCTGTTCATATTATGTTTAAAATGATTTAGGGTGACTTTATTGTCAAATTGACTACAACGTGTTGCAATTTTTGTTTCTAAATGAATTTCATAAAATCACAAATTTTAAGTTGTTTTGATTTATAAAAAATATATGAAAATATTCCAAACAGATTAGCATTGTTTGTTCAACTTTTGTCTCGTTGATGAAAACATTAGATGACATATTTAAAATACAGTTAAAAAAAATCATGAAACAAGTTGCAAATTGCAAATGATGTTCAACTCATATTATTTTCTAATTTCAAAAACAAGAAATTGATATGAAGAATCATCTATTTTTTAAAGACAGAAATTTTTTTGTTTCAAAATCTTTTTCAAATAGGTTATTTTTGAATATTATTTTTGTTTTAATAATTTTTTGATCATGGAATATTATATTTTAATCATGTTTTATAAATCACCCCTAATTTATTGAAATACTTTATTTGATCATATCGTTGTTATTTCTGAATATTCTAAAATATGAACTAAATCTGATTTTTATTCATTATTCTTCAAATTATTTATCTTATTATTATTGATTGTGAGATTTTTATTGAATTTTTTATTTTTAAATTTTTTATCATAAATTTAATGTTAAAAAAAGAATCAAATATTTATTTCAACCAAAGAATCCTTGCTTTCGATTGTTAGTCTTAACAAATAATCATATATTTACACAAATTTCATATACTTATTATCATTATATTTACACAATATTTACACAAATTGAAGAATAGTGGAACGTTAATAAATGAGTAATATAAACCATAAAATAAATGCAAATCAGAAGAAATCCTTAAAGTGTTACTATAATCATTGAACTATGATTTTGGAAAAGCTTACATATTTAACTTTTAAATAAATAAAAGAAATTCAAAATTAGTGCAAACATAGCAGAATCAAAGCTTTAGTAAAATTTTTTGATTCAATTTTATTATATTCATTCTTATAAGTTGAGATAACGTGTGTTCAACATATTTGCATTTGATTAATTTCTTCCTTTTTTGGTTAATTAGGTTACTATCATAATTTTTTTCTACTTTATACAATGATGACCAATTAAATTTTTCAATATTTATTACTTAAGTGAAACAAACTTACTCATTTTTTTTGTTTAGTTTAAGAAAATAATATTTTTTTGATATATCGTAATTATTTTCAACAAAATTGATTAAAGTTATAGTCTTCATGAAAAAAGTGATCATTTTTGTTTCAAAATCAATCCAGAATATATATATAAATATTTTTTCTATATTTTGTAATATTATTGTTTTATTGATATAAATTTCTGAATTCAAATTCGTTAATTTACATATTTAATAGATTTAAAATAAAAATAGAGGTAAATCTTATTTATTATCTGTATAATTATCTATTTGAAAGTCAACAGTCTGTTGAATTTGTTTGGCACCAACGAGGTGCCAAACAAAAAATGCTTGAAGAAAATAAAATCATTAGTTCATCTTTTCCATCGTCATCACTATATCCACATTATCTTCATATCCCACGTATCCTGCGAGTCTTAAACAGTTTGCATTTTAATTATCTCAATATTATGTAAAATCAAATCAATAGCATCCAGGAAATAAAATATAAAAAATCGTAATGATTTTATTGCATCCAATTAACAACATAAGCATATTATTTGACATGCAGTTGAAGACGTTCAAATACTTTACATTATTATTTGTTATTGTTCTTCTTAATGTTCTTTTGACCTGTAAATGTGATATTTCAACCTTTTACTCTATCACATAGCTTCTGGGTATGCTACAGTTGTATTGATTACATAAAGAGAGTTTGCCCAAATGCCCAATCTTAATGTGCTCAAATTTATGCGCAAACCCTAAACATGGTTAAAAAGCCTTTTTTTATCCCAAAGGTCATCGTGTATGAAGACGACTTAAATGCTAACCCCGATGACAAATTAATTATATATAAATCCTAATTGGAAAGTAAAATCCTATCCCAATATTTGGTATCTAACTTTTCATTTAAAAACTTCTTAAACTAACTTATAGTTTTAGAAATATTACTTTGTTGCATATAGCATAGAGGAGCTATATTTGAAAAAATCACTTATGATGACATTTTGTTGTGAAGTTATGTTGTTAGATTCTCAAAAGAAGAGGAGTATTCTTTTCAGATTATAATATAATTTAATAATTAATATTGATAATTTAATCATTTGAAATATAGTAGATTTTTAGTTCCATGTTTATATTTCATCATAGTTAGCTAGTTATATATATAATACAGTTATAAGCAGTTATTTATAGGAAAGGTATACTGTATATATGTTACAAACCAGAGTTGTATTATCCAAGTAAGTTTTTGCTCTTTTATTTGAATTCAGAGTAGATGTCATGATAATTTGTTTGATTATTCTCATATTGAAGTATCTTTCTAAAAGCATCAGTTTTGCTTTATGCCTATCAGTCAATGATTCATAAGTTTTGTCTATATCATTGTGAAGAAAAGAAACATATTTCAATATAGATATAGTTGGAGAAGAAATGTTAGATAATACACCGGAATTATAGTACACCGGAATAATCTGTATTAATACACGGGAATTATGATTTGTTGGGGTCCTACGTGTAGGATTTCCGAATGGAGATGGTATAGAAATAAATTTGCAAAAAATCTCAAGTACAAAATTTATCAGGAGACATATACCTTCCTAAACCTGTGAGGCAGTTCCGCGGGAATTTTTAGGCCACATGATTATCGAAATTAACGTATATCTCTATCACTTCATTTTCAAGTGCTTAAGAAATGACCGTCGATTGTGATAATTGGAGACTCGTTTTTACAAGCATATGCTTAAAATAGTAAGTGATCAGAACTCGGAATTCTTGAACCCACTTGCATGCCCCAAGATGGAAGCAGGGCATGTGCTTAGGGCTATCCAGTTGGCTAAGATTCGCCCACGACCAGTCCTCGCACTTGCGGTTTGTGTGTTCGGCAGCGCTTTGTGCTCGAATTAGCGCGACCATATTTCAAACAGGAACCGTGTTTCTCCATTCCCCCCAAAACTTCAACGTCGCGTCAAGTTTCAGGGCAATCATGCTCACCCGTCCGCCTTTCAAGCCTGCCGTTGGAAGTCACCTCTCACGGAATGGCTGTCCTCAGGAACCCGTCAAACTGGGTCCGATCCCGTCACACGTCAAGGTCTGAAGACGTCAACCTCTACGCGACTCTAGTGGCCGCTCATACTCTGCGTGTGAGTTAACCGACTACAACCGGTAGACAGCTCACGCTTCGTGAGCACGGCTGGAGTACAGGACAGGTTGACTACGCATGGCGGTGCAGCCCGGATTTTCGGCCCGGGTGTTTCACTGAGCGGGAAGTTGGAACCGCAGATCTAGTAAGAGTAGCGGGTTCGGCGAGAGCCGGTTGGCCCGCATTGGCCGGACCCTGCATTATGCACCCGCGCGTGGAGACGTTCCACAAGTTAGGCCTCCGTATGTATAAAGAAGGCGGGAACATGTTTTCTGAGTTAAGCTCTCGCTAGCCGTTGCATCGATTCTTGATCTCTCTCGCAGTGCGTGGACACTCCGTTCTTCGTGAAGGCGTCTTTGCACACGCCTTTCTCGAAGAATTTGTTCGACTTGTCTCGAAGAATTTGTTCGACTTGCCTCGAAGTTCTTTTCACCATCAGCGATCGCCTCCGATCCGGACTGTTCTCCGTTCTTTGCTTTCTCCGCTAACACCCAAATCACCCGGCGAAAATGAGAGAGTGCATCTCGATCCACATTGGACAGGCCGGTATCCAGGTCGGAAATGCGTGCTGGGAGTTGTACTGTCTAGAGCACGGTATTCAGGTAAGGTTCTGATATGTCGATTGAAATAACCTAGATGAAGCTGAGAGCTTTTTCAGACTAGAGTTTCCTTCACGTTTCACTTGGTTCCGGCATATCAATCTGCATTATTGTCTACGTCATCGGATTTAGGTTTCGAAGATTCTAATCTTTTGTTTGCTACAGCCTGATGGCCAAGTGCCGAGCGACAAATCGGTCGGTGTTGGTGACGATGCCTTCAACACTTTCTTCAGTGAGACCGGAGCTGGAAAGCACGTTCCGCGTGCTATTTTCCTCGATCTGGAACCAACTGTGATCGACGAAGTCCGCACCGGTACCTACAGGCAGTTGTTTCACCCCGAGCAACTTATCAGTGGGAAGGAGGACGCTGCCAACAACTTCGCCCGTGGTCATTACACCAGTAAGTGCTATTACTTGTTACGAGTCTGTCTGCAGTGACTGTCGGTTCCACGTTTTGAAAGTTCAGCTTCTAACTTTTGGTTGTCATGAACTTGCGTTGTGGTGTAGTTGGTAAGGAGATTGTTGATCTGTGCCTTGACCGTATAAGGAAGCTCGCCGACAACTGTACCGGTCTCCAAGGTTTCTTGGTCTTCAATGCTGTTGGTGGAGGCACTGGGTCCGGTCTTGGGTCTCTTCTTCTCGAGCGCCTGTCTGTCGACTACGGAAAGAAGTCCAAGCTGGGATTCACTGTGTACCCCTCTCCACAGGTCTCTACTTCTGTGGTCGAGCCATACAACAGTGTGCTGTCTACTCACTCGCTTCTTGAGCATACGGATGTGTCCGTTCTCCTCGATAACGAGGCCATTTACGACATCTGCCGTCGCTCGTTGGACATCGAGCGTCCTACCTACACCAACCTCAACAGGCTGGTTTCACAAGTCATCTCATCCTTGACTGCATCCCTTCGGTTCGATGGTGCTCTCAATGTGGATGTCACAGAGTTCCAGACCAATCTGGTGCCTTATCCTAGGATCCATTTCATGCTCTCTTCTTACGCGCCGGTCATTTCTGCTGAGAAAGCTTACCACGAGCAGCTGTCCGTCGCTGAGATCACCAACAGTGCCTTCGAGCCTGCATCCATGATGGCGAAGTGCGACCCTCGTCACGGGAAGTACATGGCTTGCTGTCTCATGTACAGGGGAGATGTTGTCCCTAAGGACGTGAATGCAGCTGTCGCGACCATCAAGACCAAGCGAACAATCCAGTTCGTGGACTGGTGCCCCACTGGTTTTAAGTGTGGTATCAACTACCAGCCCCCAACTGTGGTCCCAGGAGGTGATCTTGCCAAGGTCCAGAGAGCAGTGTGCATGATCTCTAACTCCACAAGTGTCGCCGAAGTATTCTCCAGAATCGACCATAAGTTCGATCTGATGTATGCCAAGCGTGCGTTTGTGCACTGGTACGTGGGAGAAGGTATGGAGGAGGGAGAGTTCTCTGAGGCTAGGGAGGATCTTGCTGCCCTCGAGAAGGATTACGAAGAGGTCGGTGCCGAGTCTGCCGATGGAGATGGCGAGGATGGTGAGGATGAGTACTGAAAACCGATTTCTCTGAGTACGCTGTGCAGCACCTAACTGTAATATACTTTCTACTGCACAAGATCAGTCCATTGCCAATCCAGTTTTCTACTCGATAACTCTAGTTTGGACGAGCACATGGTTCAATATTTTGGGTGGTTAGTGTGTGCAACCTCAGTAAGTTGAGCTAGCTAAATTCACTGTACTCCAATGCTATCAATTTTCAACATGAACAGAATGAACTACGCTACAATCATCGTTTATCCCGCCGTTTACTCCGCCGTTCGGATGTCTCGAATTGGTTTTCTGTCACTCTTCAGTTAGGATGGTTTTTGTCTGGATGGATCTGGACGGTTAAATGTCGGTCCGCCAACCGCTATTCTTTCAAAATTCTAGCCGTTGTTCCAAAACCCTAACTTAGTGCGACTGGCGGCGACCGTGACGAATGATGAGGGTTGTGACCAATGTTTCTGTGGACTTATGGTGTGGAAACAAATGTCACATCTGTTACTGAATATTGACCGGTATGTGCAAATATATGTTGAAGAAAATGAAAAACCTTGTGGTCAATTAATAATCTTGTAATTGTTTTAGCAATATTCAGCACTTTCGATGGAAAAAAAATAATGACGATAAACCCAGTAAAATACGCATCAATATTCGAAAATATCATGCGATTAATTAAATCTCTAATGTACACTACATTTCGTCTATATATATCAAAATAAATGAAGTGGAAAAATATATATACTGAAAATAAATATAACCAATCAACAATTGAAAGGGGAAATCTGATAATAATATAAAAGAATATTTAAATAATATTTTCTATTCTCCAATTAATCATTACGAAATATTACAAAACTACATTCACAAACCACGCTAGCAAGAAAATCGGTAAACATAAACATACACAACCAGAACAATATTACAATTAAAATCTTCTCAATCATGAATAATATAATCAACTACCTCAATTTGTACATATTACACATTATCTATCATCCTTATTATCATATTGTTCGACGGACACCCTTTCCAATTCTTCCAAAACACAATCGACGAAGCAATCATCTTAGAAGAACATATCATATCACATCTCCGTAACAAATCGCCGAAGTCAAGCAGGGAAAATATTTTTCCTAAAAATATGATTCATCTTAATGTATAAAAAACAAGTGGAACAACAATAACCAAAGAGTATTGTTTAAACGATCATATAAATTATTAAAACGATCACAAATGCGTGATAACTGTCAAAAACAATTTTTTTGGCACACACACCCAATTATCATTTGTGTGGAATTTGAATTTTAACTCGATACAATGCATGACCATATGCTCAACTTGTTGTTATCTCGCAGGGATGTTTGCAAAAGTTCGGTCAGTAGTCATTGTTCGTGAAATGTGTAGGTAGAAGTATCATGTTTGATTATGTTTTTTTCATCATATATGGAGCAATATGCAACAAAAACACGCTTGGAGATATACTTGAGCTTGTATGCGAAATATCAATTTTTGGCAAGAGAAGAGTTTGTGGTAATTTTACATTAGATGTGATTGTTCCAACATTTAACTAACCTAAATCTTTAATAGAAAATAAATCATCAGATAATGTTTTTGATTATTGGGTATTTGAATTCAGCTATGTAAGTAATAACTTACATGTTAAAAAATCATGAAAAATAAACATAATAGTTTTATTATATTAAAAAAATTATTGGCTAGTGTCATCCATATAAGCATCTAGCATAACATTGGACCACATGATGTTCTTTCATTGTTCATATGATAAATAGAATATACATTATAGAAAACATATAAGTAGTAAATACTTAACATGGTATATTTCTTAATTGCAATGCAATGAATGTTAGTCTTGTCATAATATTTGAATTTTAGTTTAGTTTATGCATAACCTATTGATATATTGTCATTTTTTGAAACGTTATTTGATATTTTGAATAAAAATTTTAAAGTCATTGCTTAGATAATTATATATATGTTTTTTTATCAATTCTATAATGTTATTTCATTTCTTCAAGAACTTGCATATTTCTGTCATCAATGTTTCATGAATTGTCAAATGCAACTGCAAAAATAAACAATAATTTGTTGCTAAATTAATTTTTACAATACTTGATTGATTTATTGATTTCATTAGTTTTGTTAATTAAATAGGTATTACATTTCAATATACATTTTGTTGTTGTTGTAAAAAAGCTACTAATAATGTTAAAGCTAATATATTATCCAACAAAAAATGTAACATATGAACATAAAAAGTTAGTTCTGTATGTGATTATTGATTTACTTTTTTGTCAAGCATAACCTAATTATATGATATTAACACATATTTTATGATATGTTTTATGCAATCATAACTATATTTTAGAATGAAAAAATACTTTATAAGTAATTATATTGGATATTGGAATTAATGTTTGTAGACACTAAAATAACAAAAAAGGCCTCACTTATGATATTGGAGTTCTAATGTACATTATGTTGGCAAGTTTTTTTGGTTTGAAATATTAATTCAAAGAAATAAATGCTATATGTAAACAGTTAGATTTAATATTAAAAAGCAGGATATAAATCCATAAATTAAAAATAAAAATATGAATGTGAATGATTATATGATATTGTTAAGTCAGAGTCAAGTACTGAATTAATCTAACTGGAGATAAAGTTAATGTTAGGCATATTTCTAGTACTAGTTAAGATTAGAACTAGGAGCTCTAGTACCATGTATATATGATTGGAGCGTTAACACAACTCGTCTTGAACACTTTCAATGTTTTTTTGTAAAAGTCTTGTTGTCTTGTAGTCAAGAGTGGCAAATCACATATTTTTCTAATGTATCATTTAATTTCTTCCGCTCTTTCATGAATTCTCGTGTTTCTTGTTACAAATCATATTAAAGCGACAATGCATCACTCAATCATTTAAGTTTAACTCTAATGAGTGTTTGAAGAATAATTGATTGTGCATATGGTTGTTAATGTCACTGTCTCCGTCTACTGCTATTGGCGTTTGCAAAGGATCAATTGTTGATAGTATCTTGAAGTTAAATTAATCTTCAACATTTGCAAAGCCTAAAGTGTATGGTGACGAGCAGGAGAAAAAAAAGTAGTGGTTTGACGAAGTAGTATTTTCTACCCAAACATCACAAATTAAAGCAAGATGTCAATGATGATGTGGTTTGATTGAATTTTAACATAAATCATCATTTAACATATATCTTTAACGAGATGATGACTTTGTATGAAATGATAGTTGCAATGTTATGATGTACGGAGTTTAAATTAAATTTAAATTTGAATGAATTAAATTTGAATTCTTTTGTCTAATATTGGGTTTTTCTCTAGTAATTTTGAAGCCTGTGAATTTATAGTTTGGAATCGATGGAGACCATGAATTTTACTTGGCCTGCAATCAATTATAAGGAGGTCGCCAGATATTATGAAAATCTCTCTTTGTTGGATCTCTTGGTTCTAGTAGTCTATATATCATGAGTATTAGATCATAAAACCTTGAGTAAACATTTACATAGTAAAAATTCCTACACAGAAGAGAACCCGCACACGACAAATCAATTACATACATACATACTCAAATCATTCTTTGGGATTATGTTGTTTGAATGAATGAAATGATGTTCAAACTCATATATTAAAAGATCATGATTTCAAATACCAAAGGTTTGTTTATGATTTTTCATATAACACAATATTCACAAAATTCAAAATCAACTTCAAATATGCTAAATAATTTTTTTTTTATGAGTCCGCAAGGAGTATTAAGTATGTAATATTTCATGTACAACATGAAATAATTTAACTCAAGATGTAGGAAAATTATATTCATTACATATATTAAAGCATTCTAGTTCACTCTAACCTAAGTTTTATGAATAATAGAATTGTCTTTCAACATTCTAATAATTTCACACAAGCAAATAAATTTTAAAAAGGAAAAAAACTAATTAATCATTGAATGTGGATAATATTTTTAGATTTCTCTTATGAATTTCATTAAATAATCTCAAATTATTTTTATTTGGACAAATTTAAAGTTATTTATAAGGTATGAATTGTGAATTAATAAATTGAAAATAATTTAGATTATTAAAATTATTATATAAAATTAATAAATATATATCTTAATAAAAACTTTTTTTTATAGAACATAAAAATATAGAGCATAATATTATATTATTCTCTAAATAATCAAATGAAAAATAGAAATAAAAAATAAAAAAATCTAATTTTTCTTTTGAAAATTAAAAACTCTAAAAAATGTTCTACATTGTTTTTTATGTCGAAAATTCTGTAACGTGAAAGTATATGAGATTATTAAATATAAAATTTTGAATTTTGATCTTTAATTTCAAGTATATGAATTAGTCATGAATTTAATATCTCTACAAATAAAGTTGATACATTATTATAACATGAGTAAAATGTATTTTTAAATGTTATTCTATGCAGAATTGTTGTAGAAAAAATGCATTCATGAAACTTAATTAAGAAAGAGTTTTAATTAATATTTTAATATCATTATTGATTAAAAAATGATTATATGATTAATTATAAGTATTTTGCTGAAAATCAGGGCAAGATTGAAAATGTTGGGGTGTAAAATTAGTTGAAAAATGTGTATAGGTATTAAAATATTGATGGATATTTCATGTAAAACAGATCTATCAATTACATTTACTCAATTACTTTGAAGTACATATGAAATCAATTACAATGAACTGTAAATCTATATTTTATAAAACATGATCGAGCATCGATAATGAAAAAATAAAATGAACATCATCACGAGGCCTAACGTCTTGCTGCAAAGGTTATAATTTACAATTGTGTTATTGAAATAATGCTTATAATGAAAAAAATTTTAATTTCTTTTGTTTCATGTAAATTGCCAATGTTATGTACTAGAAAAGAATGAATTGTGTTCTTAATTTAAAATTTTTTTGAAATAAAAAATAAATATCAAATTACTTTTTCTGCAAGATACTTTCAGGAACATTTAGAATGAGTATTTTTATTATAATACTAATTGCAATATACATATTATATATTTACATAAAATGGTCAAATTTCTTTCCTAAAAATAAGTTCTCTGTCAATCCTTAATCCTAGAAGAATGATCATCGCAAAATGTAAAAGTTTAATGCTTTACAATGAATTCTTGGAAATACAAGAGATGAACGAACATCATGTTGCAGTAACGATCTATCTTATCAGAAGATTCACAC